AATAGATAATAGGTAATATACTATAATTAGAAATGATAATATACTATATATTATAATTATAATATGCTATATTATATTATATTATTACATTTTTATAATTATGCTATATTTCTAATAATATAATATAGTATAGTTGTAACATTTTGATATAAAATAATCACAATATCATTATTTTATTATACTATATATTATGATTGTATTACAATTATAAATATTATATAACTATAATTATAATTATATATATTATATCCTTATAATTATATATATATATTAGTTATTAAATGATTATATTAATATATATGATATTAGTTATATTAACATGAGGGATAATTTTGTTAACATGAAAATATTCATATCCCATTCTATTGCATTTGTAAAAGTAGAACTAAATAATGAATCATCTTTCCTTTCTATTATATTCCATTATCATTCTCATTTCCATTCATATTACCATTCCCTCACTGCAACCGCACCCTCAAAGTTTTCTAAACAAGTGATCCACAGAGGTTGATTGATGTAACCCACGACTCCATCACCTTTTGTTTGCTTTTTCTTTAATCTATTTGCATAGCGGATTCTTATCAAATAATGCTAAGAGGTATTGGTAGGTAAAGCACCACATATTAACAAAATATTAATCTCACTATATAAAGATTATAATTAATATCACCTTCTATCGGTTGTGTTGATACTTGAAACTGGTGGTGCCCAGACACTTTTCAATTCTTACATGTCACTTTTCACATTATTTTATAATAATTTGCTATTACTAATTCACAGCTAAAGCAATAAGTGCCTAATTATAAATGTTACTCGATTATATTTTAACCAAGATATATATAATATTGTCATATGAATTTACATTGTAGCTCGTCTGTTCATACAGCGTAAGTGCATGTGTCTAGAGGTCTATAATCTGTTAAAGCGTAGTATTTCAATAGGCCTAATTTTTGTACGTACACACATACTATTAAATCATCATCTTTTGATTTTAACTAATTATTTTAAGCCCGCATGGAATAATATTATTGACCTCTTGCAGCATGAATATACTGGGATGGACTATTATGGTGTCGTTTGGCATTAATGCAGCGATAAGGTCAGTGCCTGTAGAATGCCAATACATATCTGTGACTACTATTTCATTGAATTAAGTGTTGAGTATCTCGTGTTTGCAAATAAAACGTTTCAATCTTACTTAAGATATTATAACATTATATCCTGCAGCGTGAGAGTATCAAATGAGTTAGGAGCAGCTCACTCAAGAACAGCTAAATTCTCATTAGTGGTGGCTGTGATAACTTCATTTCTAATTGCTGCCTTTTTATCACTCATTTTGATCTTCACAAGCAATGATTATCCATCCTTATTTTCCAAGGACGAGGATGTCAAAAATCTAGTTAAGCAGCTCACCCCTATGCTAGCAACTTTCATTATCATCAACGACGTTCAACCTGTTTTATCTGGTAATTAATCATGTATCCTTGTTATAATTGATTCACTTCAAATTTTCTTTGTGTTGTGCTTTTGCTTGTGTATATTGTTGATCTGTTGCCTGTTTTTATCCTTTCTTCTATGTACGTTTTGTGTAATATATCTTAGGTGTTGCCGTTGGAGCGGGATGGCAATCTTTCGTAGGATACGTGAACGTTGCATGCTTTTATCTATTTGGGATCCCCTTCGGCCTTTTAATGGGATACAAGCTCGACATGGGTGTTAAAGTGAGTATATTACTACGGCCCCGTTTATTTCACCGATTCGAATTTAGAATTCGAGTTTGCTAACTTTTTTACTACAGTAAAAAGTCTTCATGCAAAGTCACATCTCAACTCGAGTCAGAAAATTAAACGGGGGTTTCCATGCACACAGCACAAACCGACGTGGACTTTATTCAAATTAAATAATTAACAATCAAAGATAGAAAATTGGGTTAAATTTTACTTCTCCAACAAATTCTTTTGTTTTCTTTCTCCCAATAATTTTTAGGGAATTTGGTTTGGAATGATGTCGGGGACAGCCCTACAAATTTGTGTTCTCTTCTGGATGATCTACAGGACCAATTGGAACAAAGAGGTAATCTGTACTTAAGCAAAGATAATAAGGTACAAATTAGTTGTAATTATAATATGAAATATAATTAAACATGGCGTGCATTAGTGCAGGCTTCTAAAGCTGAAGAGAGGATAAAGAAATGGGGAGGGCATTTAGACTCTAAAGGGAACGATGTAGAAAAATGAAGAGCCACGTCAAAGTACATGGTGATGTGGTATGTATGTTTGGCCAGAGATTAATTTAGCTTTAGCTAGCAAAAAAGGAACATATTGAATGCTAATATTATGATTAGTTAGTATGTTACTGCGTATGTAACTCAATGTTTTGCAACATTTGAGGATTATCTACTTCTGTTTCCACTTCATGCATGTTTTTTAACGCTTGGAGACGATCAATTATAAAACAACCAGTGCCATCGCCACATATACTTTCTGACCAAAACGTGTATAGTTAGTGCATTTGCTTAACCTTGGAATATATATATGACAGTAAATTAAATATGCTCACGGCTTGATCCCATTCTAAACGTCAAAGCAGAGCATGCATGGAAGAACATGACAAGACGTCTCCCAGAGAAGAGAGCATTAAAGCCATAAATTCCTCAAAAACAAAAAATATTTATACATATCAAATTATTTCCAAAAGATATAATGACTTTCGACTGATATTAAAGCCATATATATAAGTCAATATTGTCATATATTTGAAGCGTGTTTACTTTCCGATATCAAGGCGTAACTTTCCGGGATATAAAGAAATTTTGAGATTATTGCAAAAGACATAATATATAGAAATAAAATAAACGGCCTGTACATCTACACGTGATAGAAGAATATCATGAGGGTGTTAGCCATGGCGCCTAAGATTGAGTATTTCATAAACAATTATTTTACAGTTATACTAGCATTTTTTTTTTTTTCTCTTTCGCTATGTGCATGGAATTTATTTGATTCTATGTGCTGGAATTTATTAGTGCCATTAACGTTGCACCATGAATATATTAGGATGAATTATCGTGGTGGCCATCGGTATATATTAACGCGGCTATTAGGTGAGTTACATTTAGAACCACAATAATGATTACTTCGATTCATTAATATAGTATGCATGTTTTCATTAAAAAAAAGTACGTATGCGATAGATCATATTAAAAGTGATTATCTTATTCTGTTCATTTCGCCGATTCAATTTTAAAATTTAAATTTTATTATAGTAAAAAATTTTTAAAAATAGTCACATTTAATTTTTTTATTACAATACTAAAAAATTTTCACATAAAATCACATCTTAACTCAAATTCTTCAAATATACGGGCAGTGTGAGTGTCAAACGAGTTAGGGGCAGCTCACCCTGGAACAACAAAATTCTCATTAGTTGTGGCAAAAATAACGTCGTTTTTACTGAGCCTAGTCCTGTCACTTATCCTCACCATCATGTCCAATGAGTATCTGCTTCGGCTGACGTAAAATGATCAAATACAAACGACAAAATACTTCGCTTAGTTTGAACTCAAGAATTTAAAGAAAACCCTTAAAAAATAATTCTTATTAATTTTCAAGTTGACAAAAGTGTACAAATAAAGGCGACTCCCCTTTATTTTATAGGCTTTCTGGGCCCTCAAAAAATTCTCAGGAGCGGAAGTCAGTTAAAGGTATCTTGCTCTAGACCGTCGATTCGTAATAAATCGATCTCGTCCACTCTTTAACTCTCGCTCCTAATCATTATGTAAATCAATGTCCCTTTAATTTCTTTTTATTTCCATCCCTCTTTTTCCTACTGTTTTATTTGTTCATCTTTCTATCTGACTCTCGTTTTGCTCTTAATCCTTCTTTTATTAGAATGTTGTCGTTTATCTTCTTCCTTCCTTATTTCATTATTGTCATAATATTTTTTAAACGCCGTGGTAATAATTGCACCTAAACAACGAGTCCAACGCCAACAAAACCTCTACCGATCATCGTCTCAAAAATTACAACAAATTAATATAGGGTTCGTTTAATTCGTTAATTTAAATTTTTAATTTGAGTTAATATGTGACTTTATGTGAAAATTTTTTATTGTAGTAAAAAAGTTAAATATGACAACTATTTTTAAAAAAATTTTACTGTAGTAAAACTCAAATTCTAAATTCGAATCGGTGAAATTAACGGTACCATAATAACTTACAAAACAACAACATAACTCCAAAGGAGCACTATATAAAAATCTTCGTTAACACATGAGTAAGTAATAAAAGGAATCTTTGGACATCCGCATCAGTGACAGAACTAGAAATCGATTTCAGGGGGCGCTAGTGGATACTAGAATTTTATGGTAAAAATATTAAGAAAATTGAAGTTGTAAATTAAGGAATTTTTTTTCCCTTTTTAAAACTTGGTTTAGCATATTATTGCTCTTCAACCTACACAAACTATCGTCCAAAAAAAATTTGTATTATCATCCTTGTTTTTATGGAACGAGGGACTAATAATAAATTTTAATTTTTATTGGACCTATTTGAAATAACAAGATTGTGCGTTAACTATAAAATCAGAAAATTTGTATGTAAATATACTAACGAATTCTCATAGATGTGTACATTTACCAATAAGCATAAATTTATGTAACTACTAGTTTAAGCAAATGAGTTTTGAAGAGCAAGTAGATGTTTTTAACAAAATTTAGGCGAGCAAAAATGTACAGTCAGGGATTAAAGAGATTGTCAGAGAGATATATTACTTTTTATGGTGGATATAGGTCAAAGTGAAAAAGATAAAATTTGGGTGTGACCAATTGAAAAAAGAAAACAAATAATATATACAAAAATAGAAATTTGAAAAAATAGAAATAGAAATAGAAATTTACGGTGGATTGTCAGTGGGCATGTGCTACCTCTGATCTTTTTTTTTTTTTTTTTTTTTTTTTAACGCCCATTGATCCCTTAGTAGATCGGTCATTGCCCGCATCGCATTCAAAATCAAAATAAATCTAAAGTTATTTGTGTCTATGATTACGTGACCAAAATTGACAATTATAGTTAACTATTAAAAATATTTCAAAGGAATTTAAATAGTGATATCGGTCTCGTTCACTTTGTGGATTCGAATTTTTAATTCGAGTTGAGATGTGATATTTTCTGAGAGTTTTTCACTGTAACAGAAAAAGTTAGATGTGACTTTTTCTGAAAATTTTTTACTGTAAAAATCTAAAACTGAAAACTCGAATTAGTGAAATGAACGAAGCCATCATAATTAGTAGCCCGAAAGAAGTCGCCAAGTTACTTTATAGAAATTTTATTTTTAGGGAGCTTTTAGAGGTAAAGATTTTCTCTAATATCTTATATATGTTCAAAACAAAAGCCAACACTTCCTTGTCATTGTAAAAAAGTAAAACCTTAGCAATGGAGGCCAACAGCGCTGACCAGCCATCACTTATCTCCTCCACAAGCGAAGATAATAAAGTCCGCCATGACCAACTTGAGCCACTTCTCGGCCCTAAAAATCCATCTTCCTCCTCCTCCTTCACCCCCAGCGACCACGACATACCGCCAATCGACGGCGTCCGTGACTTCTTCAGAGAATTCCGCAGTGAATCAAAGAAACTCTGGTACTTAGCCGGCCCCGCCATCTTCACCTCCATATGCCGTTACTCTCTCGGCGCCATCACTCAAGTCTTCGCCGGCCACATCGACACTCTCGCCCTCGCCGCCGTCTCCGTCGAGAACTCCGTCATCGCCGGCTTCTCCTTCGGCGTCATGGTAAATAATCAACTCAATTACGTCATCTGTTTGTTTGTTTGTTTGAAGTTCGGATTTTGATTCATAATAAATTTGATCTTCAATATCAAAGCTTGGAATGGGAAGCGCACTGGAAACTCTATGCGGTCAAGCTTACGGAGCGGGTCAGATCGACATGCTCGGAGTGTATTTACAAAGGTCGTGGGTTATACTTTTGACGACGGGAGTGATTTTGAGCCCAATCTACATATTCGCGGAGCCGCTGCTGAAGCTGATCGGCCAGACGCCGGAGATATCGGAGGCGGCGGGGACGTTCGCCATCTGGATGATCCCTCAGCTGTTCGCCTACTCCATGAACTTTCCGATCGCCAAGTTCTTGCAGGCGCAGAGCAAGATCATGGTTATGGCGGCGATCGCGGCGGCGGCTCTGGTGCTTCACACCTTCTTCAGTTGGCTGCTGATACTGAAGCTGGGGTGGGGCCTCGTCGGCGCCGCCGTGGTGCTGAATGCGTCGTGGTGGTTCATAATAGTGGCTCTGCTGGTTTATATCTTTAGTGGGAGCTGTGGGAGAGCTTGGTCTGGGTTTTCATGGAAGGCGTTTCATAATCTGTGGGGATTTGTCAAGTTGTCTTTTGCCTCGGCCGTCATGCTCTGGTGAGTGAAACTCTTCGGTTGTTAAATTCATGTCATGATTTGAATTATAATTTATGATTTATTATAATATTTTTTTTTATAAAAAATACATATAAATTAAAAATAATCTTAAATCATAATTTTAATTCATCAATTAAACGTCTACTTCGTGACCTTGATCCACTCTCTTTTGAGATAACGAGAGAAAGAAAAATGATTAAGTATTCGTACTAAGCATCGCTACTAAAGCACTACTAGTATTTTATAATATTATTCAAAAATAAAGACAAAAAAAATAAAAATAAAAATAAAAAAGGAGAGACGGGAAGGACCAAGGACGTATAACAAATTAAATGAACAAATGAAAAAGGCCGGGTTAGTATGAGGGGGCCACATTAAGAATTTTAAAATTTTAGAGAAATAAACTATAACAATGTTTATTTTACCGATTTAAATTTAGAATTAAAGTTTTATTATAATAAAAAATTCTTATGAACAGTCACATTTAATTTTTTTATTACAGTAAAAAAATTTCATATAAAATCACATCTTAATTCAAATTAAAAACTCAAATTAACAAACTAAACAATATTGTATGTTTTAATCTAAAATTAAAATATATTCAGAATGGACTGCTGTCTAACCTCGGGAGTTGTTGGCCGGCCCTCCGCCCTCAGAGAGACCCTGCTGACTCTTTTTCTTCTACTCCTTTTTTCGTGATTGAGTTATGTCGTTTATCATGAAGTTTGTTGGTCGTATAGTTATTAGAGTCGTGCGTGTTCATCTAACTAATTAAATTGATTTTGCCTTAAAAAAACATAGTGATATCTTTAGACCAAAGGGGGCGGAAGGAATTGTAAGGCTAATCCAAATTGGTAACTCGAGAGAATATGAGATTTTTTATTTGAATATGTTGGAGAAATAATTCATAAAAGTATTAAGTATAGCCCTAAAAAAGTTTCTGTCGTTAGTGACTAAAGTCAATTTAATATTTTTTATGTCCCCCTTTCCGTCTGTCTTCTGTTTTTCTTTTGCAACGCAATTTCTTGTAGAATGAATATTCTCAAAATAATCTTATTTTTACTTTTATATTAAAAATAAAATTATTTTAAAAAAGTTACTAAACGGGCCCCAAATATCTCATAAAAATGAATTAAAATCTTTGTGCCAAATTTAAATTCTAAAAATAACAAACGGAAATCTCAAAATTAAATCTAAATTCAAACGTATGAAAAAGTATATGTAATCACTCCCTGCCTCGCCTACAAATTGGGAACTCATTTTTGCCGCCATACCCACTCTCATCCCTCGTACCCGTCCAATTAGGGAAGGGTATCCGTGTGTACCCATTCCATAAAAATGTCATCCCATTGATTTGTCTAAAGTTATGGGTTGTTTAGTATGAGAATTCGTGTCATAGTTCGAATTATAGTTTGTGACTTGTTATAATATTTTTTTTCTCATAAAAAACATATGTAAATTAAGAATGATTTTGAATCATAATTTTAAAATATCAATTTACATTTCTAGTACATGATTTTATAGTGAAATTACCGTGCAGCTTGGAAACGTGGTACTTCATGGCACTTATTTTATTTGCTGGTTATTTAAAGAATGCACAAGTTTCTGTCGATGCGCTGTCCATATGGTGAGCATGATTGACTCTTCTCTCAACAACCATGTACTTTACTTTTTCATTTTTATTTTTTACTTTCTTGAAAGGAATGAAATTTAGTTTTAAGGCTTAAGATAAGACATTACTAATAATATATACCTTAAGTAATTGGCTGTTTTATTTATCTTCCCATGTCAATATTACATCTCATAATGAAGCGAAAACATATCTTCAAAAAAGCTTAGCTACGATGATTTATCATGCAGGCCTTGCAATTAATGTTGATGAACAATTAAATTGTATTGTTGCATCTTAAGCTATTCGGTTTTTATAAATATATTGGACCTCATACTTCTAATTTTGACAAAATACATATTGAAGTATATAGTTAGTTGAAACTGAAGTCCAATAACTAATGGAGTTATCAAATGATAATTTGAGACACGAGATTTGTGCGTGATATGACTTGAAAATTACAATCTTTACCTTTTAGGTGTAAATTCCATGTCTTAAATTGTAAGATAATTTTTTTTTAATTATTGGACTTTAATTGCTATTGATTTTAGCTCCATTTGATTAGAGGGATGGAGAGTAAGAAGGATGGAGAGGATTATAGTAATTCTTCATGTTGTTTGGTTGGATGGAGGGAGAGTAAGAAGGATGGAGAGGATTATAGTAATTCTTCATGTTGTTTGGTTGGATGGAGGGAGAGTTGAAAAGATAGATGATAATTATTTATTTAATTACTATATAGTCCATTTTATTATTTTTTAATAATTTATTTTGATTGGTGAAAAAGTAATTTTCATTTAAATTTGAATGGATTGGTTGGATCATTCCATTGATAGAATGATCTAAAATGGTGGGCTCGGAGAAAGACACTCTCCCTCCTCTTCTCCTTGCTACCAAACAAGAGATTCACCCTCTCTCTCCACCACTCTCCGTCCCTCCATCTCTCACTCCTACCAAACATACTCTTAAAGTACTTTAGGGTGCATTTTGTCAAAAATTAAAGTCCATGATTTGTTATGTAAAAAATAAATAGTTTGAGGTGCAACAATGCAATTTACACTTTATGTTTACTATGATCTTTTTATTTTCTTTCTTTTATGTGCTAGAAAAATATTTTACAATCCTACACTAGAGAGTGAAAAAAGACCATATATCATAGGACTACTTTTTATAAAACCGCTATATTTGTATCATAATTTATTAGTTTTATCTACTTTTTTTAATCTTAATATGATTTTAACTGGATATAATATTTATAAATATACACTCCTAATACGTACTCCTACTACCTTACATATAGAAAGCACCAATTGAAGAAAAAAGAATAAGACCGGCCAGTAAACCACAATTTTATAAACAAGTTCGTCAATAGACAAAGGAGTACTTGTCCAACCAATAGGATGAACATCATATGATCCATAAAATGATTTGTTTTAAAATGAGCAATATTAAAATTACCCATTAAAATGGAGCTTCTTTTTATTTCTACTCCTTAACATTAATCTATATATTTTTTACTTTTTAAATTAGAATTAGTCGAGTTTTTTTTAAAAGAATATTTTTAATAATTCAAATACTTAAAAAAATAAAATCCGTAATTTTCTCTTTTAAAATTAGACTCATTAATTTTTCGAGTTAGGTCAGACTATTCCACTCTATATTGATAGGTTCCAGGATTTATTTTATAGTCGATGGAGATATGGGATGAGCTAACTTCGGTGATTTTTTTTAACTAGACAAAAAAAAAAAAAAAAAAAAAAAAAAGAAGAGAGAAAGCAATATCGATGGACATGTTCTAATATTGATCATTGATGTAACCCGCGACCAACCTCCTTTTGTTTTTTTTTTCTTCTGTTAAATGGACTCTTACGCACCTGTCAGTTTTCACATGATCTTATGTATATATTGCATGTATCAATTTATTATTACTAATTCACATATAATTAAACCGATGAAATGCCAAATAAAATATATTAGAACAATCATATAATCGCCAAGATCCATATTATATTGTACCATGTGATCCATATTAGGTAATAAAATATATATATATATATATATATATTGTCAGATCCATATTATATTGTACCATGTGATCCGTTCGTTGTCTTCAACTTTTAATTGTATACATACAACATTGCTACATGTGCCAGAGATTTACGATCTGATACGATTAGGATTTCAATGGGCGCCAAGTTATCGTTAAACACAAAATAAACCGCCTCTTTTGATTTAACTAATGATTTTGTGCTCGTGCGGAATACTAATATTATTGACCTTGCAGCATGAACATATTGGGATGGACTATTATGGTGTCGTTTGGCATTAATGCAGCGATAAGGTCAGTGACATGTAGAATCCCAATATAAACCTATGACTGCTATTTCATTGAAATATGTGTTCCATATCTCATTTATGCAAATAAATCATTTCAATATTACCTAAGATTTTACAACATTAATTAACTAACATCCTGCAGTGTGAGAGTATCAAATGAGTTAGGAGCAGCTCACCCGAGAACAGCTAAATTCTCATTAGTGGTGGCAGTGATAACTTCATTTCTAATTGCTGTCGTCTTATCACTTATTCTGATTATCACACGTGATGAATACCCATCCTTATTTTCTAAAGACACGGACGTCAAAATTCTTGTTAAGCAGCTCACCCCAGTGCTGGCAACTTGCATTATCATTAACGATGTTCAACCCGTTTTATCCGGTAATTAATTTATCCTTGACATTAATTTGTAATATCTTTGTTTTTGCTTATTTATATGTTTTTTTTTTTTTTTTTTTTTTGCGTGTTTTTTATTTACTTTTTGAGTATCTTAGGTGTTGCCGTTGGAGCGGGATGGCAATCTTTCGTAGCATACGTGAACGTTGCATGCTATTATCTATTTGGAATCCCGTTAGGCCTTTTACTGGGATACACGCTCGACATGGGTGTTAAAGTGAGTATACTGCGGCCTCGTTTATTTCATCAATTCGAATTTAGAATTTGAGTTTTGTTACAGTAAAAAGCTCTCAGAAACAGTCACATCTAACTTTTTTACTACAGTAAAAAGTTTTAACATAAAGTCACATCTCAACTTGAATTAGCGAACTAAACGGGCCCTGCATATGTGAGCTCCACACACCAAGGTGGATCTTGTTTAGAGTAAATAATTAACAATAATAGCCCAAAAAGGGCAAATTCTCAAACTTTTTTTTTATGTCGTTTTTCTTTCGCCCCAATAATTTTCAGGGAATTTGGTATGGAATGCTGTCGGGGACAGTGCTACAAACTTGCGTTCTCTTCTGGATGGTTTACAGAACCAATTGGAACAGAGAGGTAATCTATACTTATGCTAAGACAATAAAGTGTATGATATATATTGTTGGGTTGAAACCAACACAAGATTCTGAAAAAACGGAATGAGAAAGATCACAATCAACACAACAAATTTACCGAGATTCGGGCAAAGAATTTGCCCTACGTCCCTGTTGAGCTCTCTCACAAGAAGCGCTTCCACTATTAGATCAAAGATTACACCCTCACAATTCACAATCTCAGAGAGACAAACAATCTGATCGAAAACCAATTACAAGAAAGAATCCTAAGAACGTTTACAGGAGAAAACCCCTATAAACTCTATGTTTTTCTCTCAGTACCTCCAAATTCTCTCTTTCTGTCTCTACAAGTTGTTTTCGACTCTCTCTCTCTAGAAGTGAATATAATTCTCTCAAAGAAGCCAGAATGAACTTATACATCAGAAGTCGAAATAGCCAGCACCGACTCATTAAGCCATCCACATGTGCATCTGTGATTGGCTGTACACTAGCTCTCCCTCTTGCAAAACGGCAAGTCATTTTGATCTAATAGTGAAGCTGATAATTGGATTGATGTCGTTTTACTTGGAATTACTCCTTCATATATAATATATATATATATATATAAGAAATGTAATTAATAAAGATCGCACACATTAATGCAGGCCTCTAAAGCGGGAGAGAGGATAAAGAAATGGGGAGGGCATTCAGATTCCAAAGGGAACGATGTGGAAAAATGAAGAGCGACGTCAAATGTACAAGGACAAAACATGACGATTAGATATTTGACCGGAGATTAGTTCTGCTTTTGCAAGCAAAATGAAAAATATATATATATATATATATATGAATTATGCTGTGTTATATTATCATTGGTACTATTGTGTAACGGGAAAACTCATTTTCTTGCAACTTTTGAGAAATAACCATGTTGGCCTCATGATGATTAGATGATCTCCTTCCAGTAAGTTTTTTCACGCTTGAGATCTGTTGGGTTAATTATAAGCTAAAACAACCAGGGCCACCGCCAAACGTTATAACTTATAACCAAAACGTAAGTATAATTTTATTTTATTTTTTATAAACTGACGAGAATAGACAACTAGTATCTAAGTTTGCCGAGACATTCTAATTAAGTTGGCACACTCTTAAAATCTATCCTCTACCAAGTCTATCACTCCAATATTATTAATAAGAAAACAAAAAAAAATTACAAAAGATGAAAGAAACTGTGACATAATAGCTTGAAAATAATAAAACAGAAAACAACAAAAAAAAGGCCGAAACAGAACAAAACAATAGTCAGAAACTCATTTCACAGGATAAATTCTGAAACTTACACCTTGAAAGAAAGCTACAATTATATGCATCGTTAAAAACCTTTTAGCCAAAACCCAATAAAAAAACTAAAAGGGAAAAAGAGTACATATTTACTCGCAGAGTTGACTATGAGAAATTTATAATTCAGAAGACCTTTCATAGCCCTACTACCAATTGCGTTGCAGAAATTGGGAACAATGAACTATCAGGAAGTTGTTTGTGAAGAAACTCTAAAAGAAGTCAACTTATCAACCATATAATTGCCCTCTCGAAAAATATGCGAAGCCCAGAAAGAAAGAGAATTCAAAAAAAAAAAAAATCGCCCGAATCCAACTAGACTTGAATCTCCAAAAAACCTCAACGCCTTTTGAGATCAAAAGATTCACCACATATGTCGAGTCACATTCAAACCATAAAAAATTTCAATTGAATCTTTTAGCAAATTCAATGGCTAAAATAACTAAGTATAGTTTGCGCACTACTTGCTTATGCTAAAAAGAATAATAGTAACAAATTAATAAGAACAATCATAATAAGTATATAGTAATATATAGATTTATACCCTCTATTTTAGGTTTGTTCTGAATATATATATAGTATATCTAATATATCATATCTTTTTTATGCTTCATCATTGGTAGACTTTAACTGAATACAAAATATTTTATACCTTATCTGAACCGAAGCTTGATTGACTACGTATAAAAGAGACTTTTAACACATTTTTGAGAAAGAAAAAGTAAAAAAGAAAAGAAGAAAGCTTAAACGAAGCCACCTCTCTCAGCTTCAACAATATTCTCTCATCTTCTCTCATCAACACCTCATATGCCTGAAGCATATTTTTACCTCCAAACCAACACCAAAAATAAATAAATAGATAAATACACAAATAGAAGGGAACAACTCTTTTTTTTTTTTTTTTTTTACCTCAATTTCTCTGCATTCGTCTCATGTTATTACTAACCAAACAAGCCCCAGGAAGAAAGTGAGAAGAAGCGAATGGAGAAGGACAGGCCCACAATTAATTAGCTCGTCTAGTTGAAGCTTAAAGTTCTGATTATAAAGAGATAATTACTCGCAATATTTTATACCGTGAGTTGAAGTTTAGCAAAATTTTTAGAATTTTACAAAAAAATAACAAGAATATCATAGTACTTGTCATAATGATATCAAGTTTTATGCAATGATATTGACATTATTTTAATGATATCAAATTTTGCTATTATTATAATATATCATAATATTTCAAACATTTTGTTATATTAAACTTTACTATGTACATTTAAATTGAGCTGTAGATGTTCAACAATATTGATGGGATCATCTTCAACGGGGACATCACGACCAAAGGTAGGTGGCAATTCTATTGCAACTCCGTAGGATTCACGACTGGAGGGTCGTGGCTAAGCAGGCCGAAAACGACAAAGAGGACTAAGGAGATCTTATTGGGGATGATTCTCCAGTTGGGGAAGTGTTTGTGACTGATGGTAAAGGACGGAGATTTTAGTAGATGTTTAGTTCATAAATTTAAAATTATGATTTAGAATCATTATCGTTTTACGTGTGTTTTTTTTTAGAGAAAAACACTATAGAGAATCATAAATCATGATTCAGAATCAAGAACGAATGCAGAAAACAAACATCCCTTTAGCGTTTTGGTCCCATTGTGGAGGAGGGAAGAAAAAAAGCTCAGGTTTAGGTTTTTTTTTATAGGATAAATGTTGTAATAATCACGGGTAGGATGTTTTATTTTTATTTAGTAGTCAATCTTTTTTACCATTCGATTTAGATTAATGTCGTTTACTTGCACCCCATCTGTAGAGAATTTTAACGCCCCAGTGACCCGCCTCCAATTTGATTTTAATAATAATAATAATTCTAGTGATATCAATTCTTTCATCGACTTCTTAATAATAACTCATTTGACAAATAATTCAATCAAGCTTAAATGGTGAATGTCATGTCAAGTATTTAGTGACCAAAGATTATATTTCATTTCACTATAAGTAACAAAAACGACAATTCATTCATAAATTATGTATCATGAAAAGGGTTTATGATCAGTTTCATAGCCTTGACGTTAAATATTTGCCAACAATTAATTACTAAGATAAACTATATTGGAGAAGCTTAGCTATAATTCCGTCCACTTTCCACTTTTCTTTCAGACTATCTTCTGTAACATGAGTTGTGATTTTTGCAGCATGAACATAGTGAGTTGGGCAGTTATGGTATCATTTGGCATGAATGTAGCCAGCCATAGGTGAGTTGAATATTGCAGAACCAAAAGTAATACTAATGACTTGGAAAAACCAATATATATATGCAACATATATATATATATATCATTTTAATATCTTATCACTTGAAAAAAAAAAATGTAGTGTGAGAGTATCAAAGGAACTAGGAGCAACTCACCCAAGAGCGGCAAAATTCTCAGTGGTGGTGGCAGTTTTATTCTCCTTCTTAATTGGTCTCCTCTTATCACTTATCTTGACGGCCACTTGGAACCAATATCCCTCCTTGTTTTCCACCACTAATGAGGTCCAAACACTAGTCAAGAAGCTCACATCATATTGTTGCCTCTCTCCGTTCTTATTAACAACATTCAACCCACACTCTCAGGTAATTTCACCTTCTTTTCTTCTTCTTTTTTTTTTTTTTTCCTGTTCTTGGGATTTTGTTTGAATGAGCAAAATAGTACTACACTTAATTACAGTACTGTCAGTACGTATCCAACCAACTATGCATGCAGGAGAAGAAGGGAAATATACTACTTTGGAGGGGATAAAAAGTTAATGACAAAAATTTGAGCAAAAGTTAGTAGGTTGTATATACCGGAATTATTAGACCATCTTCAATGTAAATGTTAATGTCAATTGTATATTTAGAATTAAAGTTATGATATGGTATGTTATTTTCATTTTTACTCAAATGTTAAATCTATTTTTTCCTATAATTTTTATGCGAAGTTGTAAAAATAAACTTTTATTTTTAAAATAATTAAAAAATGTAAAAGTTGCATTGATTACATGGAAAAAATAAACATTTCAACCAATAGTAATCAAATATCAAATTTTTCATATGTTATACTTTGTGAGAAATTTATCACAAAGTATAGCTATGACACAACAAATAGTATTGCATTAGAGAGTATTTTTTACACTCAAATGTTAAATTTACAATTGACATATTAATTATAGCATTATATTAGAGATGTTCTTACACCGTAAATTTATAAAATTAATGGCAGAAACGTGAGGGAAAGTTAAAAAAAAAAATAGAGAAAGGGGAAAGAGAAGAAAAGCAAAATAATGGAAGTGATGTAGAACTGTAGAGGGAAAGGAGAACAGGAAAGAGGAGGAAGGAAAAGAGATATAGGAAGAAATTGAGATAAAGAGATGATGAAGAAAAATCAAGAGGGAGAATTTCTGTAATTCTGTTCAATCATCAATCGTCTATGAAATTGTAGTCGATTCATAGGATAATTACATAACTAAAACAGGAACTATATATAAAACCAGAAAACTTTCCAAAATCAAACTAAGGAGAAAAAAAAAAACATTCATTTCCTATGTTTATCTTCCTCATCTTAAATAAGGGTAAAAATTAAGATAACGCATAAATGAAAATTTCATGAATACTATTTACAACAAGTTTTTGTTTTATCTTTGAATATTTACAACAAGCTTCAGTAAGTATACTATTTACTTTTCTGATTTAAAATTATGTTATACCCCCTATCATTTTCGCTATAGATGTTGCGCACCGGATGCACATGAATATTTAACTTTTGGTCATCTCTTTCCTCTTTACATACTTATAATCTTTCAGGGAATTTGGAATGGAATGCTATCAGGGACAGGGCTGCAGCCTTGTATACTATTTTGGATGGTTTATAAAACTAATTGGGGCAAGGAGGAAATACAGTTTACTTTGTTCCCACAAATTTAATTTCGTTACGAAATAAGCCAATGGGAACTAAAGTTCTTCAGCTAGCATGATCAGCTGCGCATAATTTATTCTAGTAATTACAAACCGCAGAGTAAAAGACGTATATAATCTGAATGAGATATAGACCTTATTCATTTCGCGAATTCAAATTTTCAATTCGAGCTGAGATATGACATTTTCTGAAAACTTTTCACTGTAGTAAAAAAAAGTAGATGTGACATTTTCTGTGAACTTTTTACAAATTTAAAACTGAAAATTTAAATCAGTAAAATAAACGATGCCTTAACATGATATGAATTGCAGGCCTCCGCAACTAAAGACAGGATAAAGAAATGGGGAGGGCAATAGATTCCAAAATTGCATTAACAGAGATCAGACCGATTGAGAGTTAGTAGTGTTGTATCTTCAAAAAAAAAGCTATTAAATTTGTATATTTTTTTTACATGACAACAGTAAGAAATGTATAATTCTGACAAAGTATTTTCTGTAATATTATTAAATATATTTTGGAACGCAAAGCTGTAATTTAGAACTCAATCGCACCCCATTAGCAGCCAAAAAAAAAAAAATTTTGCAATAAAAAAAAAAGTCAGTTACAACGTTTGAAAATTATCCACTGGCATTAGCCTGCCCACCTCCTTCCTTTTCCACTTGCTTACCCACACTTGGGAATGGTCTAATTATGGGCGAGAACAACCGGGGCAACCCCAAAACTGCCGGACTGAAACGTAAATTAGAATTAATATTAGGAACTTTTTTTGTAGTTGCAAAAATGAATTACAGTAACCCCTTTCTATTCAATTGTGTATCAGAATCTATCTGTTCTGCATACTTTTTAATTTTATGTAATTTTAATCAAACCTAATTGTCAAAAACTAGAACGATTAGTAGGGCAGACTACTGTAGAAACTCCTTTAATATTAGAGATTTTCTCGGATAGGCCTCCCAATATCAGTATCTTACTATTAAATTTAATCAAAATCACATCAGATTATAAAAATATGCAAAACAACCAATTTCTGATGCAGATTTGACAACTGAAAAATAAAGAACTATCAATATTTCATTTTTTTTAATCCTACCAGAGACTTTAATCCTACCAGAGACTCTAATATTATTGATGTCCCTAAACTTTGAGGTCATTCGTGGATTCTGGAATGAACAATATAATTCCCTAACACAAACACACACCTCCACAAGTTACAATTAGTGAGTTTACACAAGATCTATCACAACCTGCCAACGACCATCAAATGAGTAGTGTGGGGGGTTGGAAGTAGACATGGCGGAGCGTGGATTGAATCCCGCATTGTATTAAAAACTAAAACCGATCTATCACAACCAAATGCCATTGCGGAAATAGTTTCCAAAGGCCTAAGAATATCAAGCAAGAACTGTATCTTTAGGGGGGGAAAATGTACAACAATCGGATTGTTACATAATTCATTGAAGTGGCTAAGTGGTGAATGATTTGAGTTAGCTACCATGACGCCCATCTAATGACTAACAATTAGCACAGATACTTAAACCATACAGGTTTTTAAACAGTTCCTAAGACACAAATTCCTACTCAGAGCAATAAGCATACCAAAATTTAAACCATCAACAAACATGAAGATACATTCATAAAATTTCACCCAACCCACATTTCCCCCACTCACAAAACCATTTTCTATCACTGACCAAACCAAATAAAAGAAAGGTAAGTAAAAAAGCAAGATACTAATTTCATTTCCCACAGTACAGGGCACCATGGGGCGAATACCTAAATCTTAATCCATCATAAAGCACATTTTGGAAACAGCAATAATCAGCAGTCCCTTTCATCTTAAGCTTTGGAAATTTTTCATTTTACGACGCTTCTCATATAAATAACAAGCCCTCAAAAGAATTTATCGATATCAAAATTCACATAATCTGGATTACCAAACTCCATTCCTAAAATTCCAAGCTTTATAATTACGGAAAAAAAGTAAAGCCTATTTTTGCACATCCACTGAAGCATATAACAAAATAAAGACCATATCGGTTTAAATTTCATAATCTTAAAATATCCATCGAGACATAACAGAAATGAAGTTCGATAGTAACTCTAAAATAAGGATCCGAAAACCGAAAATTACAACCCAAGAAAAAAAGCCAAAACTTTCTAAATCGCAAGAGAAAACCTCAGACCTAGGCGGTGAGGACGACGGCGCCGCCGGCCTCCTTAATCTTCTTCTCGGCGATCTTGGAGACGAGCTTGGCCTTGACGACGACAGGCTGATTCTCCGGCAAGACTCCTTTGCCCAAAACCTTGAAGTATCCGAACTGAGTGACATCGATGAGAGGGACGTTGTCCTTGGAGGCCTTGTCCTTGACCTCCTGAGGAACCATGGCCCAGAGCTTGTCGATGTTGACGATCGGGCAGTAGAATTTGTTACGGAGCTTGTGGAAATACCTCATACCGACCTTGCCGAAGTAGCCAGGGTGATACTTGTCGAAGAGGATTCTGTGGTGGTGCATACCACCGGCGTTACCGCGACCACCGGGGTGCTTCCTGTGCTTGCCGATTCTTCCATGGCCGGCGCTCACGTGCCCGCGCTTCTTCCTGTTCTTCTTGAATCTGGTCGTCATCTCCGCCTTCTCTCTCTCTCTGCTGTGTGACTGAAAGCTGGGACTTCGACGGCTGAGGAAGAAAACGAGGGTTTTGTTATTTATCTGGAGAGATTGGGATCTTAGGGGATGTTTGCGTTTTTATTTTACTATTGTGCCCTTAGGGTTAGGGTTTTCGAGGTGCAAAGATGGAATTTACTCGGTTGGGCTTGATTTAACTTCTGGGCCTGTTTGATCTGGGCTTTACATTCTGTGTCAAGTGAACCTTGGGCTTTTAAGTAGGGCATTGACTTTGGTAAAGAGTTGATTACAAATAGGAGAGGTAAAAAAATTATTATTTATGTTAAAACAATTATCATTTAATTAAGGGGAAATAGAAAATCACGATGACACTATTTAAAATGATAAAACTAATAAGTCTGTACAAAATCGTATAAATTATTTACTTTTCTCATTATGTAAATTTAGAGATAATTACTTCTGAAAAAAATTTGGAGTTGAAAATTTCATATTTTAGTTGAAATTTATCAAAATTTTCAAAATATTATAAAAAGAACAAAAATGACACAATAATTATCATAATAATAATAAATTTTGTGCTATATAATAATATAGTCAATTTGCTATATTTGAACTTCACCATTTAAATTTTGTTGCATGTGTTGCATGTGTAAAGAGCTCTACATACATGTCGATAAAATGAAACATAGAATGTGATGTATTTCATATACAAGCCAGTAACATAATTCGTAATAACATTCTTAATACTTTGACAATCACTTTTAAAATCAGTTATACAAATTCTTAACTATCCATGTAAAAAAAAGCACATAAAAAATCATGAACATTGATAATATTACTAAAGTAAAAAACATATCCTAGACATGGAGTTTAAAGTGATTATTGGTCCGTTTAGTTCACTGATTCGAGTTTTTAATTTGAACTGAGATGTGATTTTATTAGAGAGCTTTTTACTATAGTAAAAAAGTTAGATGTGACTGTTTCTGAGAGTTTTTTACTGTAGTAAAATTTAAATTTTAAACTCGAATCGGTGAAATAAACGGGACCTATAACTATCGCTTTAGTAAAAATATGGCATGTTTATTAAATTAATAAAATTGAAATATAGTAATTTATTAAAACATTCTATAAATAATAAAATTACAAAGTTATTATTATATTAATTTTTATTTTTTATTTCATAAATTATGTAGTTATTGTAATAATAATTTTATTTTGTTTTTTTTTTTTTTTTGCTATATTTCAATATAATTAGTAAGGTTGTCATATGTTAACTCGCCTTTGATTTTAGCGAGAGAAATCAACTTTAAAGAGTAGCCCCACAAGCAAGGCACAGACGAGTTATATATATATATATAAACTAGGTAATTGATATTATTAATCCATGTATATCTTTTAATTTTGACATATTAATTCCTAAACTTTCATTTTTTTGACAATTTTAGTCCTTAATAATAAAATTGATAAATGATTTCTGAAATTTAACAAACATAATCATATGTCCATTACGTGATAATCTTAAATTTTATAAAAATAGTTACATTACATGTAAAATATTACTACTAAAACCCATTAAAACTTTAATATTTTGCATTTATTGTAACTATTTGTGTGAAATTTTTAGTTATTATGCATTACGAATGTGATTATATATGTTAACTTTAAAAATTGTTCGTTAATCTTAATATTAATGACCAAAATTATCAAAAAAAATAAAAGTTCAAGGACTAACATTAAAAAAATTATGAATAAAATTATTTTGATGTTATGTGTTATAACAAAACATGTTTTTAATACATTATATTTTTTATAATATTAAAATAGTATTTTGACGTTTTAAAAAATATTTTTTTTATTCAGATTTTTTTTATATAAAATGACATATTCACCCTTCTAATTAGTTTCCTTATTGTTAATTCATTTCTTAAAAACGTAATAATGTTTTAAATAAAGTACAAGATTTTCATCTTCTTCCTCCCGTAAAAAACAAAAAAACTACATCTGTAAATGCAACATATATGTAAATCAAAACACCCATATTTAAAAATCAAAATAGAAATTTCAAAACAAATCTCATACTCAGAACAAATCATCTTCAAATCTCAGAAGAAAAAAAAAATCAACATCATGAACAAATCTCATACTATCTTCTCTGATTCTTCATCTCCTTTCCAATTTCTATTCAAACCCAAACCTAAGGAAGAAAAAAAAAGGTCTCAACGTGAACAAACCCAGTATTGGACGAGAGTCAAGGAGTCCATAACAGCCCAAACTTTTTAGTTTTCTAATTGTTAGTTTTTGAAATTTGTTACTAACAGACGATTCACACCAGTCCTAGATTTTAGGCTTTAGTTTTGTAACAGAGTTGTTAATCTCCTATTTTATGTATATTTTGAATCTTGTAGATCTTGTAAATCTGCCTATATATACACGGCAATGAAATGAAATAAATTAAGTTCACATAAATCATTTTTCCTTTGGAATAGGGAGTGATCCGTCAACAAAACCAAGTTTGTTTTTTTGCAGGAAGTGTCATTGTTACAGCGCGACTCCATGGTTCATAATTATCTCCTATTAATAGAGGTGTGACAAGAACAATAGAGGGGCTGTCTGAGTGATGAATGGCATAAGGATATGGTTTGGGAGATGGTGATGATGTTACAAAACTAAAGCCTAAAATCTAGGATTGGTGTGAATCGTCTGTTATTAAAAAATTTCAAAAACTAACAATTAGAAAACTAAAAAGTTTGGGCTGTTATGGACTCTTTGATTCTCGTCCAATACTCCCCCTCAAGTTGGAGTTGGAATTGAAATGTCAAGGACACCCAACTTGTGAAGTAGTCGGCGATAAGCGTCACCTCCAAGTGGTTTGGTAAAAATGTCTGCCAATTGGTCGCGAGATTGTAAGTAGGAAGGAGCAAGAAGTCAAGTTTGATTCTTTTCTAGAACAAAATGACAATCAATTTCAATATGCTTGGTGCGTTCATGGAAGACAGGATTTTCGGCAATGTGAAAGGCAGTTTGGCTATCACAATGAACTGGAATTGGTTGTGGATGATTAATACCAAGATCTGAGAGAAGATATTTTAAACACTGTAACTCAGAAATAAGTGCAGCAAGCGAGCGAGAAAATGTCGGTTGTTTTTTTATTTTCCAAGAAATAGAACTGGAACCTAACATGATAAAATAACCAGTAGTGGAGTGACGAGTGGTAGGACAGCTGGCCCAATTAGAATCAGCACATCCGACTAAAGTAAGAGAACTAGATGCAGAAAGAAATAAGTCTTTACCAACAGAACCTTTAAGATAACGAAGAACCCGATTGACAGCATTAAGATGAGAGGAATATGGAGATTTCATTTCATTGCCATGTATATATAGGCAGATTTACAAGATCTACAAGATTCGAAATATACATAAAATAGGAGATTAACAACTCTGTTACAATCTGTTACAAAACTAAAGCCTAAAATTTAGGACTGGCGTGAGTCGTCTGTTAGTAATAAATTTTAAAAACTAACAATTAGAAAACTAAAAATGGACTCCTTGATTCTCGTCCAATACCCAGCTCCCCTCTGCCACCGCATAGCCCACTGCACATTACTCCCTCCGACGATCCCCCAAGCATCGAGAACACCAATTTTTTTTTTTTTTTGAAATTTATACTTAAGTCATGTTCATTCCGATTCAAACTTTTAATTATAAATTTTTACAGTTAAAAATTTTTAAAATATATTATATTTAATTTTTTTTATTATAATTAAATTTTTTTTAAAAAAATATTATATTTTAACTCAAATTAAAAATTTAAATCCGTGAAATGAGAACTTATTTTTTCCTATTTGCAGAGTTGAATGCCAATCCAACGATTACTTCCCGGAAAGCTAAAGAAAATTTCCCGGCAATGGCGAGAAAACTACAGCCATTTAAACATAAGTAATTCAAGTAGTCCACTTGTGCAAATGATATGAAGAAAAAAAAAACCCCTAAAAAAACGATTTCTTGCTTGTTCTGGGTATACCAACGAACAAAAAAAAAAGAATAGCTGTTCTGGGTATACAAAAAAACGATTTCTTGTTCCGGGTATACAAACAAAACAAAACCAAAAAAGGGATTTCTTGTTCATGGGTTCCATCGCCGTGGTTGGGCTCGCTGAAGGTTGGGAAAGTCGGATTTTTTTTTCACGGGGTCCATCTCTCGCTCTTTCTCTAATGCTATGTTTGGTAGGAATGAAAGAAAATAAGATAGAAATTAAATATGAAAGTGATGTAAAATAGTAATGATGAAAAGAAAATTGATTTTCTTTTATGTTGTTTAGTATGAGAAGATGGAAAGAAAATGAACTTACCTTCACTTGTTTGGTATTGGAAGTTAAATTAAGAGGAAAGAAAAAATCTTACTTGTAAATTACTTTTATACTCTTAAATTTTTTGTTTGAATGTTGATAGAGAAAATGGTAGTTTAATAAATTTACTCATTTTAATGAGTTATCTTAATTTTCTATCCAATTTTCTGTCCACTTGTGAAAAGAAAAAAAAATAGTGAGACCTATATATATTATTTTTCACTTCATTTTCTCTTCTTTTTTCTTTTTTTTCCTACCAAACAACTTACATTTTCATTTTTCCTCTTAAAATTCCTCCACATTCTTCCATCCTTCTACTTTTCTTTCTTAGCGAACATACTCTAAAACAAAGTCTCTCCCTCTCTATAGACAAAGTCCGTCTGTCTCTCTCTCTATGCAATAAACACTAAACACAGCTTTTTCTCTACACAAAAAACAGCAAAGCTTGTATTTCTTCAAAGCCCTCGTCACCTTCACCCATACTTCGATTTGGAAGGAGCTTCATTTTCGAACTTCTCCGCGTAATATTCGGGATGAGGGTTGAATTGAATTCTCAAATCTGAGAAATTTTTAGTTAATGCCGCGTTTTAAAATCAAAGAAGCAAAATAAAAAAATGACGACTTCATCAGGAAAGAAAATAAAAAACTATACCCTACGTTTTGTGTGAAGATTAGAGAACGACGATAAAATAGTAAAATTGAAGTTACAAATGAAAATAAGCATAAAAACCAAAATAAAAGTTGTAAGCGAAACCTTAGAACAACAATACATAACCGATAATTATAAAAAAAAAAAATACATAATTGATACTTAAATGACGGAACAACATTTTAATCTAAAGAAAAAAAAAGAGAAATTTCTAAAAATACCGTCAATAAAATAACACTTGCCACTGTTGTTAAAGAAGATAGTTCAAGTCCTAGGTGACTAGCGGTGTAACTCGGCCGGGTAAGTTTAGATTTGGGCCTGAAATTGGGTCGAGCCTCACACTGTGGGTTGAGAAAATTTTGAGCCGCAACACCAGCCCACAAACCTGTAACCCTTCGGGTTATCTCGGGTAGGCTTGGGTTGATCAAGTTAGACGGGTTGGTCAGTTTGAGCTTGAACGTTGGGCGGTTGGGCCTGTGCTGGAGCAACTTTTAGGCCGAAACTTGGTGGTGGCTACTGGCGGTTAACTTGTTTGTCTCCCTATGAATCTCACAAACAGAAAAAGATAACTTGTTTGTCTCCCTATGAATCTCACAAACAGAAAAAGAAAATCATTGATCGACAGAAAACCAAACAAAAATCATCAATGTTTTCGGCTTATTACAGAAATGTTACAAAATCTCAACCTCAAATGAAAATCACGGACAGAAAACCAACCTCACAGTAGCTTGGTGTGATAGCATAAAAGCTTGGCGGAATTGAGGAGGAGGCTGACGACGTCAGTTCGAAACCGCGAGAGACTGGCAATGAAGGAAAGAAACGGCGATGAAGGAAAGAAATGGCGAGAGAAGTCAAATTCAGAAAGGGAGAAACTGAAAAAGAAAATCAGAGACTTGAGAGAGGTAGAGAGTGGCACAAGGGAAGGGAGAAACTGAGAAGAGAAAGAAAGTAGTCTAAGTAGAGGGGCTGTAAGGTTTTTTTACATAAATGGGCATTGCTTTAATCGGCCGGGTCAGAATTTCACGGGTTAAATAGAGCCCGGTCCGCGCACATTACAGGTTGGGCCACTTTCAAACCAAAAAAAAAAAAAAACTATATTTTCAGGTAGGGTCAAATCGAGTAGGGTCGGATCGGGTAAGCCGGATTAGTCGGATTCGAGGTGATTTCTTACGCCCTGACAATGAAAGTGTAAAACTTCAGAATATGTAACTAACTTTCACGAGCTAAAAACGACAATAAAGTAGCAAACGAGTAGACGACTTATAAAGAAAAAACGACAATTCAAGTTCCAGACGACAATAAATTCATGTTAATTCCTTCAAATATTCGGCATCCAATACAGAAAGCACAGCACAAAGTCATATACACCATATTCAACTGCACAAGTTGACATTTCCACAACGAGCTGGATGAATAATAATTATAATATAATTACAAGTACCACATGATGTCAATAGAGATGAATAACATGCAGAAATTAAAATATAAACAGGGGTGTATTTATTTATTTATACTTCATCTTTGAAGAAAGAGGGCTGCTCCAACTAAGCCCACCCATAATGTCAAGGCTATCCAAAAACCCTGGTTCTTCTCTAATCCAACTGGAGGTCGCCACACAAGGAAGTCCGCGAAATAGTCTTTGGATGATGGGAGCTGATTGGTCGTTCCCATGCTCCTCCGATCACTGTCCTTGTATTTATCAGTCCATGTTGCTGCGTAGCTGAATTGGAGTCGCAGATAATAACATGATCAAAATCTTCCAGATGTTGCAAATGAACAGTTCAACATATACCACAAGGACCAGCACCAAGGATATTGCAACTTTTGTAACCAAAGGATAAATACCTGTCATAACTAGAACCAATCAATGGTATGGTTACCATCTCCTCTTGGGATATCTTGAGCTTTGGTGCTTGCAAAATGTAGCGAAGGTCAGCGGCTTGGCGTCGGATGCTGACACTCGGATGCCTTTTCTCCAATTGCTGGTAGAGAGCGATGCACTCCGCGTGGCGGTTATTAGCCTCATACGCCATGGCAAGCCATATTTGGATCTGAAAGGGCAAATAACCAATCAATGTCCAATGCACTAGTACTTCGCAATCAAACATTTGATATAAAATATCATCACCAAATGCCCAAAGAGGAATCCTCATCGGCAGTTAACCAACCTCACCGCCAAACAAAGTGGTCCTAGGTATAATCGTTAGTGCACCTTCTAGGAACTCAATGGCACGGCCATACATGCCCTTCCCGTAAGCTTTTTGCCCCAAATCGAACATCAACTGTGCTGTGGCTCTCCTCTCTGCCTGCTCTTTAGCCACCTGCTCTCACAAGTTACAACCAAAAGAACACATTCATCCTCATCACTACCACACCAAAACCAAACAATAACTTCACTGGCTCCACTTTAAGGAGACATACACGTGCAGCCAAATACTTGAAAAAGATAAATTTTTCATTCCAATACACCCACACCCACCCATATACTTTTTATTCCAAAGACACCCACCCATTAATATATAGGTGCAAATGTCAAACCCAACGTGAACAAAGACAGAAACCATATCAAATTAACATCTCTCACCAAGGAAGTTAAGAAAAAGGAGAACCTTATTTATCTTTTACAATTCACTTATATATGTTGATATCTACAATCAATGAAGTACGTGTTGAAGTATTTAATTTAATTAAACAAGCTTTTCACTTTCTAAAAATAAAACAATGCAAAATTATAATACATTTTTTGAAAAACAGTTTCTTTCCCTTCAAATTTCTCCTATTTTCCCTCCAAATTTCAGGTTTTGAACCGTAAAAAGAAAAAGGACGAACCTTTTAAGTTTTAACTTGCTGAAAGCAGGGGAAAAAAAAAAACAGAAAAATCGTTATAAAACAAGATAAAGCTTTCTTTGTCTTCCAATATATCCCATCTTTTCTATCCAAACTTGGGGTTATCAACAAAGATGAAGAAAAAAGGACCAACCTTTTCGAGCTCCTTCCTAACTCTCATCCGCTTCTGCTCCTCCGTCTCGTCCCCGCCGTCGCCTTCTCCATCCTCCAACTGGCTTTGCAACTCCTCCGCTTTCTTCTCCAACTCCCTCCTCTCCTCGATCTCCTTCACTCTCCTCCGCATTTCCTTCTCCCAGTCGAAGTCCTCGTCCCACTCCTCGCTCCCGTTCCCGTTCTCCCCATCACTCGATCCCGCATCGGGATCCACGCCGTTCACCTTCGAATTCGCCTTTCCACGGGCCACAACTCGCTGGCTCCGACCCTCCCCCTCCGAGTCGAACCCCTTGCCGGCGATAAACGCGCTGAGCCCTTGATTTTCTGATCTCCGCGGCAAATTAAGGCTCAAGCCGCTCTCGATCGCCACCGTACGGCCCTTCCGCTCCGATAGTATACTCCGAGCCGGCGCCACGTCCATTGTCAGAGCTAGATTCCCAAGAACCACCGCCATTGTCGCCGGAGACTGAAGAGAGAGAGAGATTGAGATAGAGAGGGATATGATATGGTGTTCCCGCTGAAAAGACTCTTGTGGAAGATATTTTGAGGTCGTTAATTCTTTAAAGACCAAACTAGCCATAAGCCTTGTGGAGTGACTTTAAACTATGCGTATGAAATGATGAGATTTTAGAAACTTTTGAGGGCATTAATCTTTGCTTTAGCTTGATTGCGTCAAACACGTAACTAGTAAGTAGAAAGCAATACGACGTCGGTTTGTGGTGTTTGTTGCGTTGAAGGCTCGAGCGTCGTCGTGTCGTCTCAAATCCGCCACGCGCCCAAGCCAAAGACCGGTGCCTCTTGTTCTTCCTGGCTTTTGTTTTTTGGTGGCTTCCGCCAAAGCGATAAAAGCCACTCATTCACGGCACGCCGGTTTGACGCCCTGACAGAGAAGAAGAAGAGACGGAGAAAATTTCCTTTACGGAGGACGCCATAGCCTGGTCAAGCTCGTAGCTTTTCACCCCAAAATTTCTCTCTATCTGGCTCTGAAACTTCATGTTTTCAACCATGGCGATTCCGCTCTGCAATACGCAGCCTCGCCTCCTCTCCTCGCTCAATCACAGACGTACCCTTATCAGAACTCACCACAAAAATCTCCATTTCACCTCCGCGTCGAAGCTCCGGCCATCTCTGTCTCTATCTCCCTTTCAATCTCTCCATTTATCCAATTCAAGACGCGTTCCTTCGCTGCCGCTGAAATCGGCGTCGATTAACGGCTACTCGGTCCACGACGGCGCGGAGGAGTATGTAAAAAGCCGCGGAGAGGCCGAGGTTGACTTATCGGAGAGGCTCCGGAGGTGGATGGCTTTTGTGAGGTCAATCTTGCCAGGCGGAAGCTGGTGGGGCTTCAGCGAAGATGTCGAAGTTCGGATTTTGGCTGAGCCGGTGACTGTGTCGCGGGCGCTTGTTCGGATGTGGCAGTTGGTCGCTAATGACCGTTGGATAATCTTCGCAGCATTCTCTACCCTAATTGTCGCGGCGGTGAGCTTCAAGCACTTAATTTCTTTCCTACAAAGTGTTTCTTTGTTTTATATCATCATTATTATGTATATGTATCTACTTTAATGCTTTGATTGAATTTCTGGGACAGCTTTCCGAGATTTCGATACCGCATTTCTTGACGGCATCAATATTCACCGCACAGAGCGGCGAAATCGCGGTGTTCCGTCGAAATGTGAACCTCTTGGTTCTGTTATGTATCATTGCCGGAATTTGCAGGTCAAGATCTTGTATGTCAGCAATGTTTCTGTAAATTATTTCCTTGTTATCTCCATGTAACTACTGAAGTTTGGATTTTTGACCATCTTAGTGAATAATGTAACACAGCTGCTGACGCTTTACTCTGTTTATATGCTCCAGCGGTCTACGAGGTTGCTTCTTTGGCATAGCAAATATGATCCTTGTGAGTTTCTGTTCACATATGATGTTGTTCTATATATGAAGCATATATATTTCTCATATGTTTTAGCATATACGTAATTTTTTTTTTTTGGTTCAAATACATGGGAACTTCTTGAATGATCAAATAGACAAAGAAGTTCTCCCATTTGATGATCACTTCATCTGTCACTTGAAAAGTTTACATGACATAAGTTTCCAAATAATTGACATTACAAATCTGTAAGATGTAATTTACAAGGCATTTCAATGTCGGAAGAATTTTCTGATTTTTACTGGGCTATGCGTGTGGTGATGACAAATGACTATGGAGTTTATGGTCCTCTAACTTTTCATGTTACAAATTACTATATAATTTTCTACTCAACCAGAGCTTTCACATCTTCTGCAGGTTAAGCGCATGCGAGAAACATTATATTCTGCTCTTCTTCGTCAGGTCCTAATGATTTTGAGAGATAATTTCTCATTATTTAAGTCTATGGACGAGCTATTGCTATTTAGAATTGACAGCCTGTTTTAATTTATTTTTATAGTATTTCTATTTCAGGATATATCTTTCTTCGACAATGAAACAGTTGGTGATTTGACAAGTAGGCTTGGGGCTGATTGTCAGCAAGTCTCACGAGTCATTGGAAATGATCTCAATTTGATATTTCGCAATCTTCTTCAGGTTCTTATGCTTATCACAACGTTAGTGCCTTTTGGTGTTTCTATATAATTTGGGGCATAAATTTGATTATCTGGTAATCTTTAGGGGTCAGGTGCAATGATCTACTTGCTAATCTTGTCATGGCCTCTTGGTTTAAGCACATTGATGATATGCTCTACTCTAGGAGCAGTTATGCTACTTTATGGCCGGTAAGTTACACCCAAGATTCTTTAGATATACTTCTTCTATATACCAGGTTGCTTTGCCTGAAAATATTGCTATTTGTTGTGCATGACTTGTTAAAGAGATGTATGGTTGTTGATTTAAGTAAAGGTAACCATCTGATTCAGGCTTCGTGTGAAGACTGCATGCCACCAGTTGTGTTTTGCTTAGGTAATAGGTTTCTGAAGATAAGAAAGGAGAGAAACTGTATCAATATTTCAAGAAAAGAAAATTCCCCATGACATTAGAAGATACCAATCTCAAAATGAAAACTGCTTACCTATTTTGTTTAAATGACATCAAACATGTTCCTTCCTGTAGGTACCAGAAAAAGGCTGCAAAATTAACTCAAGAATTCACTGCTTCTGCTAATGAGGTACAGTATGACAGCTTTAGCTATTTTACTTTTGAAGATTACGTTTCCTTAGACTTTTCATTATGTATTACAGGTTGCACAAGAGACATTTTCTTTGATGAGAACTGTTCGTGTTTATGGAACTGAGCAAGAAGAAATCGGAAGGTAATAAATACTAGCAGAATTTCTTTTGTTGATTCGTTTTTACCTGAACTTTCTTTGAGACGCCGGGTACTAAAAGGTAGCTTAGAGAAGGTAGACATGTACTTGAGGAGGTTCTGATAGATATATTTATTCATGTTTCCTGTAATGTTTTATAGATACAAGCAATGGCTTGGGAAGTTGGCTGATATAAGCTTGCGACAAAGTGCTGCTTATGGTTTTTGGAACTTGAGCTTCAACATGCTTTATCATTCAACTCAGGTATAGCCTCTTTATTGTCTCCCGAAAAAAAAAAAAACAAAAAAAGAAGAAGAAGAAGAAGAAGAAGAAGAAAGAAAAAACAGTTCTGATATCTCAAGATACTTTTCTGCGGACTTCACTTCTTACCAAATCACCAAACTTCATTCACTATTTTCTTTTATACTTCATCGCAGGATAATCAGCAATCTATATCGCAATATAATTTTTCCCCCTTTCCAAATGCTTGAACTCAAATATGGAAATTCTAATGGTCAACTTGAGTGAGATGCACCTGTTGTTCTATCTATGCCTAGAATCTAAAGAGCCATTAGATTTTGGGCATTATCAATTAAGTGGATCGTATAATTGTTTTTTTGGATTTTAACAGTATGCTTTTGAGACCAAATCTCGTGAAAATATGTCTTGCTGAAAATGGGATAACACTATTTAAAATTTGAAGTCATCTTAGTTGACTTTTACTGGACAAATTTAATTTTATAGGTTATTGCTGTGCTGGTAGGAGGAATGTCTATTCTAGCTGGTCATATTACGGCAGAGCAACTTACAAAGTTTATATTGTACAGCGAATGGTTGATTTATTCAACATGGTGGGTGGGGGATAATTTATCTTCTTTGATGCAATCTGTTGGTGCAAGTGAAAAAGTCTTCCAGTTGATGGATCTGTCGCCTAGTGACCAATTTATATCTAAAGGTAAGCAATTTGTGAACTTAGTCGAAGCTCTCATATTTAAGCAATTTGTCTTACATGTTCCTTTCCAAATCCTTTTTTCTTTGTTCCCATTTAATATGACTATAGTTGGTCAAGACGAGGCAAATCCAAGCTCTTAGGTCCACATAGCTATTACTTAAATATAATAGTTGTTAACGCTTACGTGCAGACAACTCTTTATATTGCTAACGACCAATGTTGACCAAATAGAATCAATGGTCGCTTGAGAAAAAATTTTCATGTGGTAAAAAACTGTATTGGTAGTTGACTCTCTTACTCCTTCTTGCAACATTATTCTAGCAAGAGTAATTCCACATGCTTTTCTCCTTTATTGAGAACTATTTTTCTAACTTATTGGATCTAAATGTCAATTTGTTACAGGATCAAAGTTGCAAAAGCTAAAGGGACAAATTGATTTTGTGAATGTCTCCTTCCATTATCCTTCGAGGCCAACAGTATGTTTCCTGTCCTCAATTTTAGATTTACATTCGCGATTCTAATTTGACGCACTAATTCTTTTACGCCCTCTTATGTGCTCGACCACTGAAATGGAATATGAATGGTGATTGGACAGCAATAAATACATCTCAAGTATTGATTGTTTCTTTCTAGTCGTTTTTCCATAAGCACTTTCCCTCTCATTGAGATGAATTTGCCTAAACTTGTTGCTAATGAAGAAAGAATTATCCGATGTTTGAATAGGTGCCTGTGCTGCAACGGGTAAGCATATTAGTGAATCCAAATGAAGTGATCGCAATTGTAAGGAAATGCTTGCTCTCTCTTTATTTTGTTTCTTGCCTCTGTAAATTGTGATGACGGGAAGAAATGACTTTTTGGTTGTTAATTTTTTTTCTCTTAGGTTGGTCTTAGTGGTAGTGGAAAAAGCACACTTGTGAATCTTTTGCTTCGTCTTTATGAGCCAACAAGTGGTGAGGTAATTTTTCTTCTGCCTTTCATCTATACTTCATACAAACTGACATAACAGATATGCAAAAAGATAGTATATGTGAAACTAGTTTCAATTTAACACACATATTTTTAAAGTGGGTGCAAGTTGCTCTTAGAAATTCTCCCATTAGGAGGTTAAATTTCACAATTTAAGCAAGCAGAATTTTTTTTTCTCCTCATATTTATCTGATCTCTTGTCAAGTTAATGTGCTTTTTGAGGTTGATACTTGATACACTACTAGTATTCAAGATTTAACATTATGGCTCTCCTTACAGTGTGTAAGAAAGGGGGTCAGCTCTCTAGTGTATAATTAGTTATGTACTTGTTTATTTTGTGTTTCATGCAAATGCCATAAATATTTGTGTTATTTTAATTGCAGATATTGATTGATGGCTTTTCACTGAGAGAGTTGGATATCATGTGGTGGAGGGAAAGAATTGGATATGTGGGCCAGGTTTTTAATTTACTTCCATCATCAGTTAAATTTTTTCTTCTCGAATCTACCTTTTATTACCCTTACAAGACGACTTAACAGGAACCAAAACTTTTCCGGATGGATATAAGCTCAAACATCCGATATGGATGTACAAGAAAAGTAAGGCAGGAAGATATTGAATGGGCTGCAAAGCAGGCGTATGCACATGACTTCATTTCTTCACTACCAAATGGTTACAAAACGCTAGTTGATGATGATTTACTAAGTGGGGGACAAAAGCAGCGAATTGCTATAGCGCGGGCCATTCTTAGGGACCCAACCGTTTTGATCCTTGATGAAGCCACTAGTGCGCTAGATGCAGAGAGCGAGCACAATGTCAAGGTAGCTACTTGTGACAAAAATCCTCTCCCCCAAAAGCAAGAAAGGAAAAGAAAAACAGTTATTAATAAGATGTGATTTCTCAAATGTATTTAGGGTGTTCTTCGTGCTGTGAGAAGTGACATGAAATCAAAGAGAACGGTCATAATCATAGCTCATCGGTAGGTCTTCAATAGTTTTTATCTCCTGATATATATATATATATATATATATATATATATTTGGTGCACTTCATCTCAACTGCTAGCTGAAACTGTTCAAATACATTTTGTACAGGCTTTCTACTATACAAGCCGCTGACAGGATAGTAGTAATGGACAGTGGTAGAGTTGTCGAGGTTAGTTTCTCCGTCTCCTTTATTAAAGTAAACTATTTGCCTTAATGTAATGTGTCATGCTGTATTACTTCATTTGCAAGCAACATTCATGAAATATCCTGCTTAAAGAGTGTTACATTGTCTTCCATGGTAATGATGGGAGGTCGGAAAATGACTCGGTGTTGCATACAGAATGGCAGTCACAAGGAGCTTCTTCATGAGGACGGCTTATATGCTCGATTAACGAGGAGACAAGTCGACGTTGTGGCATGAGCTTGAAAGATTATCAACACGTTACATTCTGATTTATGTATTTCCTCTTATCTGATCCGTTCTGATCAGATGCAGTATAGATTTCCAAAAATCTTTTACTGCTAACCCATGCATTATTTATCAACGTTCAAAAGAAAAGGCGTTCAAAGGGAAAATAATAAAATATAGAATACATTTAATCTCATTGATCATTTTCTTTTCTTTTCTTTTTTTTCCCCCATATTTATTTATTCATCCCTTCTGTACGACTCCAATCACCAAATTTTAATCGCTTCAATGGCACTCCGTCAGAGAGAGATTGGGATCGAGGGCGTGAAGGCACCGAAGAGAACAGCGATGTGGCGATGAAAAAACGTCACTGATAAGAATTATTGCGGATCCTTATCATTGTCGTTTACATTTTGCTGTCAATTATTGTTTAGGAATTACGATATTCTTTAATGTATCTTGTTGTTACTCGTGTTATCAGAACTTAAGAATTTTGCAAATTTTTTTTTTTTTTGTTGGTCACGTACTACGACATTTTTTCATAGACAAAGGGAAAAGAACATTGCAGGTTTTACGAGTGTCGTCGTTTTTATTCATCAAATTTTAAAACGACAACATAATTGATAAGCGACAATAATATGAATAATGACAACACATGTTATAAGCTACAACAGCTCAAGAAGTGGCTACAGACTACAACATATCATGAAACGACACTGTTACAAATGTCATCAACCAAAAAGAAAAAGGGTACTGAAGGCAAAAAGAAAAAGAAAAAAAAAAAGTTGCAACTTAATGCATACGACGACTTTTAGAAAACGATACAAAATGGAATAAACAACGAGGGATTGGGAACGAAAATATAAGCGATAATATGTTATCATCTTCAAACGTCAAGGGTCAAAGACTCAGAAAACAACATTTTGAAGGACTATAATACTTTAGAAAACGACGTCTTGAGCAAATGGCAAACCTTGTGACATCTTTTTGTTAGACTAACAATGACAATAAACCTACAAATGATCGTGTCATAGTTCGTGGTTCGTTACAGTATTTTTTCTCACAAAAAACACATATAAATCGAGAATTATTTTAAATCATGTTCTGAATCTATAAACTAAACCTACACTAAACAAGCGACAAGAACATAAAAACGACCAACTGCAAAAACCAAAACAAAACTAAAATACGATAATGCAACCCACAAACGACAAAAAGTTTTTTTTTTAATGAATTTTCTCTTTTTTAGGAGAATATTACTAAAGAAAGAAAAGAATACAAAAACAAAAACAGAAACTCAATCAAGAAAATCTGTAAAAAGGAAATCCCAAAACATCTCTATACACCAAAAAATTAAGAGAATCGAGACAAAAAGTCTACCACATCCTATTTCTATTCATAACTCCAAGATTGACTAACTTATCAGCACAAAAATTAACTTCCTGAAAACCTAAAAACCATTTTTTAGATAACAAAATAGCATTATTCCACTCATTCCGTATTTTTCAAGGCACATCTTAAGAACCTGATTTAAGAAGCAAAATCTCCATAGAAGAATCACTTTCAAGCCAAAGCTAATGCCAACTATTCTCATAAGCAAGAAAAATGGTATTGATGATAGCCCAAAACTCCGCTTTAAATGCAAAACACTCTCCAAGAAAAATACTAAAACAGTCACACACAAAACCTCAAAAATTCCTGAAAATTCCCCTACAAGCAGCCACACCAGAAGCACCTTTAGCAGACCCATCTCTATTAACATTTACCCATCTAGGACTAGGCAAAATTCAATAAACCGGACGACCTTTAGGGCACTTAGACAGATTTGGTTTAACCTGCAACCTTTGAAACGACAAAAAAGTTTTAAATAACACAAGAATTCATAAAACGACATACGATTTTTTTCTGCACGACAAAACTATCTATAAAAGACATAAAATAAAGAAACGACACGAGCATCACTTTAATTTTTGAAGAACGATAAAAAGTAAATATTTAAATGGCCATTTTTTTTCTCCTCGAAAGTTGTTAACCTATCAATTATCTACCGATCGCAAAACATCATCAAAAGAGGGGGGAAAAAAAAAAAGTAATCGCAAACACGCGATGCATTTTTCTCTTTACGGGCAGCTGGGCAAAGGTGCTGTAGTCGTTGTACGGACTTACTAGTAATTCCCCAACGCTACGTCTCACAGAGTATTCCTGCATCCTCACTCCCTAAAATCCCTTCCGTCTCTGTAATTTCCATTACCTCCTTCTTTTTCTTCTGCAAACCCTCCTTCTCGCCAATGGAAAACCAGCCATAGAGCTAACGCTGAACACTCCCCTCCCCGAAAACGGCAGCCGATTTTCAACAGAAAACCGCCATGGATGCGTACCAACAGCACCAACACTACATGAGACCGGCGGCGACGGATCCCTACCACCACCAACAGCAACAACAGCAGCCGCCGCTGCCGAGGCCACCGGTGCCTCCGCAGGGCCACTGGTACTCCAACCAGTTCCAATACTCGCCGTCTCCTCCGCCGCCTCAGTGGGCTCCACCGCCTCCTCCTCCTCACCCCCACTCCGACCATTTCCCTCCTCCGGGATCTTATCCTCCGCCGCAGCACCATTATCCTGCGCACCCTGTCCACCAGAACCACTTCTCATCAGCTCCTCCGCAGCATCCGCCTCGGCCTCCACTGCCTCCTCACCTCCCTCCGCATCCTCCTCAGTCTTACGCTCAGGTTCATTTCCAAAATCTCGTATTTTTTATTAAATCGGTATTTCTTAATTGATTTTGCCCTAGGGTTTTAGTTTCTTGGTTTCACTTGTTCTTGATGATTCGGTTCTGAATCGAATTTTTAGAACACATGGTTTGTTATTGTTGAAATTCGATTTGTTCTTTGTGTCCTAGAGACGAATTGTTTTGTTTTTGGCTTATGGATAGCTTTGGATTAACTCGTGGAGTTTCTAGTTTTTGTTTCCTGCTTTGACTGAGAATCTTATGGCTATGTTTTTGGCAGGATTGGGGAGCTCCAAATTGGGCACATCACCAAGGTTGGGAATATCAAGGTTTGTTCTAATTTACTACCAATTTTATCAACTTCCTTGTTCCCAACTGTCTTAACATCATTGACCATTGTATGATTTTCTGATGATATTGATTCAGATTATGAGATTTTAAGTTGAAGCTTTTGTATGAGCACATGTTATAGGTGTATACGTCACATGGTAAAACAACCTAGGAAAACAGAAGTATGACAGAAAGAGCCAATTAAGCCTAATTTACTCATACTTTGAATGGAATAAACAGAGTATTATGAAGGTCCTTTGATTTCAATTTCAAGATTTTGGCTGTAATGGTGGCCGTGGTTTGTGAACTTGAGAGACATTTGTTTTGATTTTGATCTTCATCATTATAAGCATGTTTGAGCCCTGATGACGGAAAATTGATGTTCCATCCCTCATCACTGAAGATACTAGTAGACAGTGTCGTTTTATGTTGCACCTTTGTTTGTTGACTAGTTTTTTCCTTACTGAATGTTGCTGGGAGGTTACTGAATGATGCTCGTTTCATTGGGTTCAACTTTTATTATTTTTTCAGCTGTAGCCCATAGCAATGAAGAAGATTGGGCTGCGAGGGCCAGAGCATGGGCAGATGCTAAAGCTGCAATGGAGAACCAACATCCAGAGTCACAGTTTGCACCAGCTGGCAGGGTGGAAGAACAGAGTCCTTACCATGACCAATATCCCCATTCTGCTGATGCTCATTACACGGAAATTCAGCATCAGTCGAACTATCAACAAGTTCCAGTTTCAGCGGCATCTCTACACCGGCTACCAGCAACTCATCCTTCAGAGGTTCCTCCTGTGAGCTCTAATGCTTCTTCTTATGGCCCAGAGGGACATCTTCACACCGTCAGAGATGGAACTTCAGCTGCAGATTCAAATGCTATGATTCAAAGTCAAGGAAATCTACATAAAAGTCCATCTGTTCATCAGCAGGAGGTACCTTCTAGTTATTCTTCTGTTACAGGTAATAATTCACATGGTATATTGAATTTGTATGTGAAGCCTCTGATCCAGATCTGCTATTATGAAACTCAAATTGATTACTAATTCCATGTTTTCCTGTCTGTAGTAAATCATACTGGGAACCTTCTGTATTTATTTAGTTAACCTGATTTATTCTACGTGCTTCTTCAGCTGATTTTTAATCATCCTTTGAATATTTCTTTCTCAAATTGGGTGTAGAGCTTATTGAGCAGCAGACTGCTATGTGTTTTCCTTCTACATGCATTGTCTTTAGCTAGATTGCAACTCGCAATTCGTAAAACTTTCGTCTCTGTGGAGAGTGGACCATCTCATGTTTAGATGCTTCATTAGGTTGCATTACTCCGTGGAAAGAATTTTTTACTTTTTTTTGGAGCCATTAGTACCTAGCGTGCTAGGAACCCTTTAAGCTACTCTTTTGAAGGTGCCCTTTTAAGATATTTATCTTCAGGCTTACTAACAGCATAAAAAAAGAAGTGGTACTGGTTAGCTTTCTGACAAAAGGAATGGTGTAGCTTGCTATAATGTTGGTTGAAAATTTGAATCTTCATCTCTCGTGGGTTTTCTTTCCTGTTATTAATTTCTGAAATATGCTATTTTTCTGACTGGGTGTAATGGCAGGAAACAATGCGGGTGCAGATCAACTTGAGCATTCATACAGATTGTTGTCTCAAGAAGGACAAAACCATGTGCAACCACTGCCTGCTATGCCTCTGGCTGATCAGCCTTTAGAATTTGCACCTAGATTTAATCGTGATGACCCACATATCCAATCCGGATATCCTTTTGACTCGGTTGGACCTGTAAGAGGGATGGACACGGTTGCCACTATGCCTCCCATGAACAGTTGGACCTCTCCTGTTGCACCCGGCGTATCTTATCCTCCCATCCCTCTGGTTATGCCATCAGGGCCTCAGGTATTAATTCTGTTTGTATTGAGGTTTACTTTAGTTCTAAGGCCTTGATAGTAATTGCTCATAATTTTTCAACCAATCAGCATGATCATGCACTAGCTGTGCCTTCTCCTGTTCCTGGGCATGTTGCACCTCCATTTAGCAGTTTTCCTGGAACAGGCCTTCAGCCAACAATTGCATCTTCTGGTCCCCAATTTACCCTAAGTCCTGGCACTGCTCTTCACCCAACTACAGCTTTCTCTGGTGATGCATATGGAATTCCTAGCGTTTCTGAGCGCCCTAAAAAGGTCTGTGTTCTCACTATTGTTAATGGAAACCTGATGTAAATTGTATATTTTTTCTCCAACTATAGCAAAATTTTGTTTTTTTTTTTCCAGGCTCCTGTGCCTAATTGGCTTAAAGAGGAAATAAAGAAAGCAGTTATCACAAGTTCATCTTTGGACCATCCCAAGGAGGAGACACAATTTATTGAGGATGAAGACGGTGATAAATCTTTTGGGAAGGTTGACCAAGAAGATAGCAAAAGCATTGATTCTTCTAGATCAGCTGAAGAAGATGATGATGAGGTTTCGGGTTTTGTTTTATATTTGTATTTCCCTGTTAATGGGAGCTGTTTTGTTATTTCATCCATCACTTGATTATTTGGATGCATTTCACTTCACTTTGGAAATTGACCTTCTGTAAACTTATCTTTGTAGGATTATGTAGAAGGAGCTAGAACCGCAGCAATTAACCAGGAAATAAAACGTATCCTAACTGAAGTCCTGTTAAAGGTTGTCATTTAGAAAGAAACGATTTCCTTGATCATTTTTCACTCTGTTATTGTTTTAACCTCTACTTTTATTGAATAGGTGACGGATGAGTTGTTTGATGAAATTGCAACAAAAGTTCTGAATGAAGATGACCTGACTGTTGAAGGTGCCGTGATCTTGCTATGTATATTGCACAATTTTAATCCATTTAATTATTTTTTTTGTGGCGTAAATGTCAATATTTTTTAATGCAGTTGATAAAGGTGCAGTCACCTCAAACCATAGAGTATCTCGGTCTCCCCCTACACTTCCAACTCCCAAAGCAACTGCAAAAATTCTAATTCCGGGTAAATCCAAGGAACCTGAGACTGAAGGAAACACTGAAAAATCAAGTTCTAGCTCCCCTGGAGATGTGCTGGGTCTTGCAAATTATGCTACTGACGATGAGGATGATGATGAGACTCAGAGTTCAAGATCTCCAAATTCTAGGAGAAAGGATGTTCTTCAACTTGAAAAACCTTCGGAAGACAGGCATGATGTTGATGCTAATGGCAGCTCTTTAGTACAACCTGAAGGGCTCAGTAGAAACCAGACAAACTTGGAGAGTGAGCCAAGTAAAGCGAGTTTAATTCAGTCTAGATATACTGATGCTGTTACTGATTTACAACAAAGTAGGAAAAATGAAAGTGATGTTGCTGGAAGTACATCAGATGGTAGGTCAAAAGATATTTCAGGCGAAGTTAGATCTGAGCTGCTTGAAGATGATGACCTTGAGATGAAAAGATTGAAAGATAATAACCAAGTTAAGGAAACCAAGATCAGACCGGATAAGAATGATCGGCATGAAAGTAAGAGTTCTGGAAAAGACTTCCAAAAGGAGGAAGAGAGTGGCAAGATTAGGACAGGTGAGAAGGGCAATGGAAATCAGAGGAGGCATGATGAAAGGCATTCTAGAAAGGAAAAGACAGATGAACTGAATGGCTCTAAAGATAGAAGAAAAGAGCAAAGTTCTAAATCTTTGGAGAAAGTGCAAGAATCTGAATCAAAGAAAAGGTCTAAATCTTTGGAGAAAGTGCAGGAATCTGAATCAAAGAAAAGGTCTAAATCTTTGGAGAAAGTGCAGGAATCTGAATCAAAGAAAAGGTCTTCGCATGCTGACGTCAAGGAGGGCAGAAAAGAAACAGAGGCGCAACGCAGAGCTGGTGCCAAAGAAGAAAGTAATAGAAAAAGAGAGCACAACAAGGATAAGGACGATCAGAGATCAAGACATAAACATGCAAGTGACTCAAGCAAGCAAAAGAGTAGACGTTCCTCTTCAGTTAGTAGGGGTAGAAACAGCAAGGATGACTCAGGTCATTGCGATTATGAGTCAAGTGATGAAGTTTCTAATGATTCTAAGAGGTCCACAATTATTAATTTTGAACTATTTCTATTTCTGGGTTAAGTTCCTAACAGTTTCCTACAAGAGGTCACAAGTAAAAGTCATTAAAATATATATATATCTTTCTGAACCCCTGCTTTGATATCAAGACCTAAATATTTCCTTGCTGTTGCAGGAAGTCACGTTCGAGGAGACGCAACTTGTCACCATCACCATCACCATCACCTGTCAAGTCTAGAAGAAGGTACTCATTTATGAGAATTTCATCACTTTTATCTGCTCTTGGGGTTTGCAGAACATCTTGTATACCGTTAGTGTTAAACATAGGACTAAAAGCAAAGATCGCTAATTCCTAATAGCCTCATATCTTACAAAGAAGTCATCAGAATCACGTCAATAATTTGAACTGGAGTTATTTAGATTTATGTGAGTAATAAAAGAAACACTGCAGTTTTTTAATCCTACACAGCACACTCATCTGTTAACTTTCACGGCTCTGTATGATAGTTGTAGCAAACTTAACATGGATTTTTCCCCATTTTTTGGGGATTTGTTACTGGTGCTTTTCGTTATTGCTCGTACACTGTAAGGAATTGAGATATAGTCGTTCCAGTTTGGTCTCATTTATTCTGTTTGTTCTTGTGTTTTTTCCTTCAAATGCTTGATAATTACTGGCATTCTGGCCTCTTTGGTTGAAATTAGCAAATTCCTTTGGCTGACTTGAAATTATAGAGTTAGGAAGGATGCTATGCGTTTATTCATAGCTTCGTGATTTGATTTTTTAAGAACAGCAACTAAAACTACATCTAGGAATTGAAGAGTGCTTCTGAATGCTTGTATAGTTTAGAATAGTTGGACGCTCTCCAACATCATCCAAATGTTTATTATCAATATTGGATTATGTTGCGGTTATAGTTATCATGTTAGGGATAAATGAAGGACTGTCTTTTGTGTGTGTAATTGTGGATAGCGATGTACTAGAAGAAAAGAAAATAACGTAGATTTACCTTCCCCCGTGCGCGTGTGTATGTATAACAATTGGAGGCTTGCAGTGCAGTGTTAGCTAAAGCTGGGAGTTGGGACCTTTTTATTTTCAAATGCCCAGTGTAAATTAACCTGAAACTCATTGTTGCACTTGTGTTTCGTGATTAATTCTACATAATTGTACTTTGGTTCTTCTGGACCATTTTTGGGCATTTAATGTGAACCACCCATAGACGATGTTAGTACACTCGGCCCGACCGTGTATTTAATAATTAGACCA